TCGGGGACCCAAATCGTACGGGGTAGGGGTAAGGCGCCGCGATGTTAACGTCATGACGGGATGGTCGACTTGGTCTGGACCGCGGCATGTGCTTTGCAGTCTCATCTGTCAGCATCAGGGTCAGACTTCATGTAGAATATGGAGTCGACAGCATTGTAAAGAGTACATAGGACTGGACTAGAAAAGACTAGACGCTCCGAGTGGTGTGGGAGTCGGCATGGGCGTGCCGAGAAAAGTGGGCACAAGCAGTGTGTCGTGGGGAGCCGTAATACCGGGCGTTATGCAGGGTTATGCAGGATGGAACGGGTGGAAGATTCTGGATGTCATATCTCCGTCTCTGTTGGAGGATTATGAGAGGTGTCGGAGTAACATTTGATTATGGAGATATTCCGGACCGAGTATGTATCTTCTTGTCTGTATAATAATAATGTAGTAGAGAAGCACGGGACTCCGTACTATGAGAGTACTAGGGACAGTACTACTACTAGTAAGGTACTTAGTGATGGCCTCGGAGACAAGAAATCGGATATACGGAGTACGGCTCCAATCAGACCAGCCACGTCCCACTCAACTTTAAACCTGGAAAATGAAGAAAAGGAAAAGAAAAATTTTCAGAGGAGAATCATGATTCTGAAAGAGGAAATTTGCAGGAAATCCGCTAGGGACAATGGCACCTCCGAGGTCCGAGAGCCAAGGCTGATGGATGGAGACCGTTGTGCTTCCGTGATCCGTGTATTGTATTGTCGTAAGTAAGGTATCTATAGGTAAGTATTGATCTCTCCTTAGTAGGTAGTATACCTAAGTAGTACTATTACTATAGTACTCTTTTATAATGAATCATGCGGAAGTATATGATGAATTCCGGAATACGATATAGAGAGTATTTATAGTAGTAGACACCGAGTAACTACCTATCTAGGTACTACCTAGGGAGGTTAGTAGTTATAGCCTAGGTAGTTATATGGAATAGTGTTCCAATTGTAAGACCGACTCGCCGAATGGGTAATGGTGATACGGTACACTCCACCGTAACCCATGGCCTCAGGCATAATCCAAGGGAGAATAATAACTCGGACTATTATTTTCTCATCAGACTGAATAAATAAATAAATTATTATTGAATAGTTTAGTATCCGGATTGTATTATGTGATGATTTATTATTTTAAATCAAAATGGATCCGCACCAACATCATCATGATCTTTAAAAGCAGTGTCGCCCTCGAGCTCTTCTACCCAATCTCTTACTGCTACCAAGTATATCACCGGGCCATCACTACCACCTAATATCGCTATCCTTGGATCTCCCAATCTTGTCCTCAATCATTACATCGTCCGTCTCCTGCTTGCTCCCTCCATTGGCTCTGGGTCCCTTACCCGATCTTTCGCCAAACTCTCTCTCCGTCGTTGTATCATCGCCGCCCGACCTTACGTATGGTCCATCACGAACTATTGCAACCGCACATCGCCTGACTCTCTCTCTGCGGTACATCGCATAATTAATCTGCTGTCCTCGTTCCTCGACCGTCTCGGGTGACTTCTTGCGATCTTGCGATTTCCCACCCATATACCCCAGGCCATACATTCCGCCATGACACCGCGACAATCCTCCCCATCCGAACACTCGCACTCC